TCACCACCTATTTGGATCATTTGTTGTTCCCTTGTCCCTGGGTTTGTTAACACCACTTCCTTTCCCCCCACCTCCCCCTCTCCAGTGTCCCCCCGAACTGTCGGTCCCATTGTTTTCTCCTCCAGATTGTTCATCCAGCCTATCTTATTTAGACAGACCTCCGGAGATAATAACATGCACAAAAGCAAGACAGAGCAAAACCAAGCAACAATATACAACAAAACAACAACAACAAACCAATGACAACAAAACACAACAAGAAAGAAAAGCTTGTAGTTAGTTCAAGGTCTGTTTGTTGGCCTATAGGAGTGTTTTCCTGTCGAGTCTGATGGGGTGCCAAAACCTGGCCCCAAAGTCTATTTTTGGTATTCCCTGGGGACTTCATTGCTCTGTTCCCCTTGCTTTTCTGTTGCATGCCCTTACTGCTTTGCCTCGGTGTGGTGGGATCAGATCAGGCGCAATTTCCACACTGTGTCTCCAGTGTTGTCCCCTGTAGGGCTGTGAGTCAGTGAGAGATGTCATGTCTCATAGTGGGGCCGGCCATATGGTCTTCTCTGTGGATTGGGTGCTCTGAGCAGGAATATTGTTGTCAAGGCTTGGTGGGCCAGGATGTCCTCCACTCTCTTCTTCCCCCTTAACTTGCTCCCATGTGCTCTGATCAGACATGTGCCTCTCCCTGAGCTGCAGCTTCAGTGTTGTCCTCTGAAGTAAATTCTTCTGGGGGGAAGGGCAGCTGTCCACGTAGTTAGGATTGGGGCTGGCTCTTCTTTGTCTTCTTGAGCTGACCTTTGAAATTTTCTGTTAGCACTTTGACTTCATCACTTCTTGCATTTGCCTTTAGCTACTCTATGATTACGGGCAAGTTTCAGAGTCTCTTCTAACATCCACTTGATTCTTTTCTTTCTTTCTTGTATTTTTTAATGACTTTTTGCTTTCTGAATGAATGATGTTCTTGATGTCACTCTACAGCTCGTCAAATTTTCTGCCAGTTGTGCTCAGTGTAGGGACTCAATTATTGATATGCTCTTGCAATTCAGGTGGAATAGATTCAAGGTCGTATTTTGTTTCTCTTGGACTTATTTTCATTTTCTTCAGCTTGATCCTGAACTTACATATGAGCAATAGATGGTCTTTTCCCATCAGTCCCTGGCCTGGTTTTACCCACTGATATTGAGATTCTCAGTCTTCTCTTCCCACAGATGTAGTAAATTTGAATTCTGTTTATTCCACCTGGAGAAGTCCATGTGGATAATTGCCTTTTGGGTTGTTGACAAAAAGGTATTTGGTATTAACAAGTCTTCAGTCTTGTAAAATTCTATCATGCTATCACTAGCTTCGTTTCTGTCACCAAGACCATATTTTCCAACTATTTTCCCTTCAGCTTTGTTTCCAACTTTTGCTTTCCAATCACCAATACTTATCAGTGCATCTTTATTGCCTATTTAATCAATCCAACATGCCAAGTTTTTTTTTTTCTTTTTCCTGCATGTATGAAATGAACCTTGTAGGCATCTGTCTTTAGTTTCTATTTTCTTTCTTACAATTTCTATGGTCATTTTAATAAAAGACCTCTTTTATTAAAAAATTGAAGGGAGCTTAAAATTAGTCAGATTCAATGAATTAATGTTGACCAGCATGTCACTTTTCAGAATCTTTTTTAAAAATTCAAAAAATTTTTCCATAATTTATAAAATTTGATTCCTTTCTTAAAATTCCACCTCCTTTTGGTTGAATGAATCCTGGAGTACCAAAACTGTTTTTTAGGGATTTTGAAATCTGTATTAGTTTTGAAAGTCAAGTAGAATTTCAGTTTTATAAATTCAGATGTTAAGAACTTGAACTACTATAAGATATTTCTAAATTATTAATTGTATTTGCATGTGCTATAATCTTGAGTTCATGTCTTGTTTAATTGATCACACTGAGTCTTTTGATTCTCTTTCTTTTAATATAATCCAGAAATAAACAGCAGAAAATATTACAAGTACAATAAAGAGAAGACATTGAAGTGGCTAGAAAAAAAGGTAGAGTACCTCTCTAAGTGCTTTATGGTCAAATAAAAATGTAATGCTCCTTTTTAAAAAGACAGTAAGTCTAAATTCAGAGACCACATTATATTTCCATCTAAAAGAAATATCCAAGGATGAGATGAAATCTTTTCATTTTATCCTTCCTTGCTCATGTCTGTCCAGTCAGCATAATGTTCTTCTCTGGCTGAGATCCCCCTCCTCTGAATGCCTTGCTCTTTGTGTAAATGTGAACCTCCAGTCTACAGCAGACCCAGTGTGTATTTGCTGCTGTCGGCCTTGCAGGCATCTCAGTGATCAACGTTACCCACCAGCAATCAGGCAGGGCATAGATGTCATGTTTCCCAAACTCACTGGCTGGACTAGCATTGCCTTTGAAATGGAATGGACTGGAAAATAAAACAGGATCGTATAGAATTGAATGTATCAAGAATGTATATTCCTCAACTGTGCTTACTTTCTTAATTTCCCATAAAGTGAGAAATCTGTATTATTTACTTTGTTCAGAAAATTACTGCATATAAGTAATAGCACATACTTGTGTAGTATTTACTCTGTCCAATTTTATTGTAAGGGCTTTATATATGTAAAGTCATTTAATCCTCACAGCAATGGAGTGGGTACTATTTGTCTCCCTCTTTCACAGATAGAGACACAGAGAAGTTAAGTAACTTGCCCCTGGTTGTAAAACAAACCCAGCATCCTGGTCCGAAAGCCAGTGGTCTGTCTGCATATGAGATCCAAGTATTGCAGGTAGCTCACCTTTTCTCCAAGTGTGCACCTGGCCCTCATCTTCCGACACCCGGGCCTTCACATACTTCCTACGGGATCTTCAATGGATTGAGGATGATCAATTAAGCTTTGAATTTCTAAATTTAAGCTAGAAACACCCTGACTATTCCCTATTTTTTACTTCATAGGTGATGCATACTTCAGCAGCCTTAAAAACCAATAACATAAATGTTGGTGCCCGAGTACAGTCTGCCTATTTCTCAGGTGACCAAGTATCCAGTGATAAGGAAGGTAAGGAAATTATTACTTCATAAGAAATGATTTCCACTCTAGTAAGTTGATGTGTGAATGCATCTCTTAATGTGTCAGAATTTTCACATCAAAGCCTCACATTCTTGTCAACATGTTCTCACAGATCTTGTGATCAGTGTGTGCCTTATTTCCGTTTCAAGTACTAATTATATTATTGATCACTTCTGTCATTCATTCATTCAGCAAGTGCTCATTTTCCATTAGTGGTAAGAACAACCCTGGCCTAATGTCATCGAAAAATTTGCATAGAAATCTGTCAGATGGAAACTTAAAGTGCTGTATTAACTTTAACCAAACATTTAGTAAAATGTTAACTTATGAACGAGGTCAACTCTGGCAACCATTGGGTCCCAGGCCTTTTGTCACATTGGCACATACTCCCTCCAATAAGTCTCATTTCAGAAAGGAGTCTTGAACTTGTCTCCAAAGCCACATAACCTCCAAATGGCAAAGCTTTGCTCATCGCCAAGCTATCTCACTGTTCACTGTTTTTCATGCTCCGCGGATGAGATAGGCCTCTCAGGAGCCAGGTGTTTGCCATTTATTCTCAAGAGGCTTCTATCCTCCTGCCAGACGTATTTTGATTGTAGATGAAAATTGATTCACTTGGTAGATTTTTTTTTTTCCTTTTAGGCTACTAAGTTATATATATTATTTTGCTTTTTTCTCTGGAATACCCTCATTTTTCCATATATTAAAAAACAGACTAAACGTATTGCTAAAATTTTGTTCTGACTCCTGGTGACTCTATGTGTTCCAATATACGCCACAGGGTGTTCTTGGCCATGATCTTGACAGCAGCAGGCTGCTAGGCTTTGCTTCCAAGTTATGGGTGGTGGTTTTTGTTAAGTGCTGTTGAGTGGGTGCCAACTCACAGTGACCTGTACAACAGAACGAAATTCTGCCTGGTGCTGGGCCATGCTCCCAATTGTTCTTATGCCTGAGTCCATCCGGGCAGCTACTGTGTCAATCCATCTGTCCAAACTCTTCCTCCTTTTCAATGTTTCTCCAGGGACTGGTCTCACCTGACAGCATGTCTAAAATATGTGAGAGCAAGTCTCACCATCCTTGTCTCCAAGGTGCTGCTAGGTGCGCTCAAACTACCAACTTCTCAGTTGGTAGTCAGGTGTCAACTGTATGCCACCCGATCACGTTTTTATATGTATAAACCCAAACCACACCCCATGGCTGTGGAGTTCCAACTCACAGTGAATCCACGGGCAGAGCAAAATTGCTCCATAGCATTTTCAAAGCTGTAAATCTTTACAGAAGCAAACTTCTTAATTTTTTATCTCAGAGCAACTGTTGACCTCTCTGTTAGCAGCCTAGTGTTTAATACTCCATACCACCAGGGCTCCTTTTATATCTATACTCATTGCCATCAAATATGTTTGTATTGTTTCTTTTTCCATTCTGCTTTCTTTCAGAGGATTATATTCGTTATGCCCATGGTTTGATATCTGATTACATTCCTAAGGAATTAAGTGATGACTTATCTAAATATCTAAAGTAAGTATTATTCCATATGGATTAAGCTTCCCATGAATCCTCTCTGAGCATAGACCCAGGATGTGAACAGACTTGCTCTCTTGCAGAGGACGATGGGAAGTGGATTATTGCTGATATCGTTAGGTTAAAATTTAACACCTTATCTTTTGATTTCCCTTTTGATCCTTTTAAAATTGGTTATAATTTTTAACAGTTACTACTTTCTTTTCTATTGAGATTTTTTTGTTTGTCTTATTTTGTTATTATTGATAGTTTTCTTTTGTTTGCTTGTGTTTTATATGTTTTCTTGTGGATGAAATCCAAGATAGGTAAATCTGTAGAGACTGTAATTGGATTACGGTCTTTGGGGCATGGCAGGAGAGGCTGAGGGAAATGGGGAGCTAATAACAGTAAGTACAAGACAGAAGAAAATTTCTAAAATTGATTGTGGTAATGATTGTACAACCCTTCTTGATATAATTGAATTATTATGATATGTGGATTATGTGCCAATAAAACTGCTTAAAAATAAATAAATAATTCACCTGCAGCCTAAATAAAGTACCTTTGTGTGCTTAGTTTTTCCAACAATAGAGATTCCTTAAGATTTTTAATACCTTTATTTTTTATTAGAGATTATTCTTGGGTTGTGTTGTGTGCACTAGGATTCGGAGTTGATTTTTAGTGAATAGTGCTTAATTGTGACAAATTGATAGCTGGATACTGATTACAGGAGTTGGTAATCATTAGGATTGAAATTATGGGCTGATATCATTTCACAGAGTCCCTGGGTGGTATAAAAAGTTAACTTGCTTAGCTGCTAACCAGAAGGTTGAATATTCAAGTACAAACAACGATGCCATGGATAAAATGCTTGGCAATCTACTTCTGGAACTCCATCAGGGTAGCCCACTGGAATGCATTCTGCTCTGACATGCAAAGGGGTGTCATGAGGGGGAGTCAACTCCATGGCAACCGGTAATGATTCTAGAGTCTAATGAGTTACAATTATCCTCAATTAGACTTAGCTAATTTGGTTCTCTCTTAGCATGGTGAACAGAAAGAAAAACGAGAAACAGAGTAGATGGCTTGTAGAATATTTTTTTAAATTAGATTTTAAAGTTTAAGATCATTTTCACTATCATCATTAGATACTCACTAAGCATCTTTATTGTGCCAAACCTTTCAAACCTGTGTCAGTCTGGGCTGACTAGAGAAACAAATGCATAGACATTCATATGTGTATAAGAAAACTTTATATACAAAAGCAGTGAATATTGAGAAAACATCCCAGCCCAGGCCAGATCAAGTCCATAAGTCCGATATTAGCCCATACGTCCGATACCAATCTTAAAGTCCTCTTCAGACTCATGAAACACATGCAATGATGCCGAATGCAGAAAGCTCACGGGCCAGTCGGTGGAAGGTCTTGTAGATCCATTGGCGATGTAAGCATCTTGGCACTGGCAGGGGTCTCCACATGGCTCCTCCAGCTTCAGATCTCTTGCGTAGCTCCATGTGTCTTGTCAACGGGAATATCTCAGAGGGAGTGAGTGTGTGTCCTGCCTCCAGCGAGCTATTTATCTCCTTAGTGCCTTCAAAGAGGTCATCAAATGAGGTCATCAAGCTGCAACCTGATTGACAGGCTAAACTTCACCCCTTCACTCTTCAGTCTCAAATTGACACCAGATTATGTAACTACCACAAAACCTAAAGAAGTAGCACTGTAATGAATTGAATTTTGCTTCATCCCACCCCACCAAAAAATGTGTCAATTTGTCTAGATCATGTTTATTAATATTATATAATTATCATCCATTTTGACATCTTTTTGTTTTATAGTATGAAAACCTTTTCTTGACTTTTTATAATGGTGATCTCATATAATATTCATATTTTTGTGGTTGACTAACTTCACTTAATATAATGTCCTCCAATGAAATGATTAAAATATATATGTGTATGTGTGTGTGTGTGTGTGTGTGTGTGTAGGCCATATATACTCGAGTATAAGCCAACCTGAATATCAGCCAAGGCACCTAATTTTACCACCAAAACTGCATTAAAAATGTGCTGAACAAGTACTCCCCAACACAAGAACACTTTGTTTTAACAATTCGGCAGTCTGAGATGCTCACCTGCCTGGCACGATCACTGAAGACAATGGGTGCACAAGAAAATGTGGTGAAGAAAGCTGATGGTGCTTGACTACCAAAAGATATAGCACCTGAAGCCTTAAAGACCTGAAGATAAACAAGCAGCCATCTAGCTGAGAGACAACAAAAACCACACAGAAGAAGCACACCAGCCTGTCCCTACTCGATCACTTAGGACAAAGGGAGTGCATTAGCAAAAGTGGTGAAGAAAGCAGATGGTGCCTGGCTATCAAATGATACAGCATCTGGGGTCTTAAAGGCTTGAAGACAAACAGGTGGCCATCTAGCTAAGAAACAACAAAACCCACAAGGAAGAAGCACACTAACCTACCCCAACACGAATGCTGAAGACTAAGCGGGTACATAAGCAAATGTGGTGAAGAAAGCTGATGGTGCCTGGCTGTCAAATTATATAGCGTTTGGGGTCTTACATGCTTGAAGATAAACAAGGGGCCATCTAACTGAGAAACAACAAAGCCCACATGGAAGAAGCACACCAGCCTGTAAGATGACAAGGTGGCAAAGGGGTCAGGTGTCAGGGATCAAAGACCCAAAAAAAAAAAAAAAATCATAACATTGTGAATGAGGGGGAGCGCAGAGTGGGGACCCAGGGCCCATTCGGGGAAAATTGGACATCCCCTTGCAGAAGGGCTGCGGGGAGGAGAGCAGCAAACCAGAGTGCAGTGTAGTAATGATGAAATATGCAATTTTCCTCTAGTTCTTAAATGCTTCCTCCCCTCCACTACCATGATCCCAATTCTACCTTACATATCAGGCTGGACTGGAGGATGTACACTGGCACAGATAGGAACTGGAAATACAGTGAACCCAGGACAGATGAACCCCCCCAGGACCAGTGGAGAGAGTGGCGGTAGTGCGAGGGTGGAGGGAAGGAGAGGGAGAAAGGGGGAACAGATGAATGGTCTACATATGGCCTCCTCCCTGGGGGATGGACAGCGGAGAAGTGGGTGAGGGAGACGTTGGATGGGGTAAGATATGATAACATAATAATAATTTATACATTATCAAGGGTTCAGGGGGAGTGGGGAGTGGGGAGGGAGGGGGAAAAATGAGGAGCTGACACCAAGGGCTCAAGTGAAAAGCGGGTGTTGTGAGAATGATGAAGTCAACATATGTACTAATGTGCTGGACACAAATGACATATGTACGGATTGTGATGAGTTGTATGAGCCCCTAATAAAATGATTATTAAACAAAGAGAGATGGAACTAGGAAGAACGGCTGATATACTAGCTACTTCAAAAAAATGTGCTGAAAAACTCAGCTTATACTCGAGGATATATGATATATATATTTAAATCCCCTCAGGTTCATTTAGGTTATATTTCACAGATTCTTCATTATTCTTTAACGTTGCAAAGTGTTCCATTATGTGTATGTGTCATGGTTTGTGTATCCATTCTTCCCTTGATGGTCATTTAGGTTGTCTTCATGTTCTTTGCTACATGAATAGTGTTGAAATGAATTTGGGTATACATATATCTATTTTTGTGTCAGATCTTTTTTTTCTAGGGTATATACTAAGTAGAGAGATTGCTAGGTCTTAAATTACTTATATTCCCAATTGTTTGAGGAAAGCCTTACTGCTTTTCACAAGTGGTTGCACTATTCAGACTTCACTGTGTAGATGCACATAAACTGCCTCCAGCAGGCTAAGAGGGGTTCCATCTCGACACTTACTTGCCAACATTTGTTCTTTTCTAAGTTTTGAACTTTGCTGTTCATGCTGGGACAAAATGATATTTCCTTGTTGGCTTTTGCATCTGTGAGTGGCTAATTATTGCAAGAATCACTTCATGTGTGTCTTGGCCACCTTTTCATGTCCTCTTTGGTAAAGTGTCTCTCAATGCCCTGTCCATTCAAAAATTAGATTATTTCCCTTGTTTAGGTGTTAAAGTTTTCTATACATTTTAGAGCTTAGTTCCTAATCCAATATGTCTTTGCCAAAAAAAAATTTCCCCATTCTGTACAGGGTTCTCTTTTCATTCATTTTTAATTACTTTTTTATTAATTGGGAGTTAATGCAAATTTCATATCATTCCATAGATCACTCACATCAAACAATTGTATAATTGCCACTACAACCAGTTGCCAAACATTGTTTTTCTTCCTGGACTCCTTGACACCATCTCCCTTGTACCCCACCACCACCCCGTACACCCCGCCCCCACCCCCGAAACCCTAATTTTACTTGCTGTCCCTATAATTCATCAATCCTGGGTTTCATATACCAAAACACACAAAACCATGTAACACAACTTCAAGAGGGTGACCTTCACTGACATATACCTCTGAGATATACCCTAATATGAGCAAACAAAAACAAAACAAGAATAGAGAAGATGTTGGCAACCAGATCACGTCCAGCATGCATCAGTTGGGAGATCAACTGACAAGCTTTTAACTGTTCAATGCCTTTGATATTCTGTAGTCATCTCTCCCGTGCACTCTGTTTAGTAACCACTTTCCTCCCATCCATCTTTTCTGGTTAGAGAGAGGTCACTGGAAGCTTATTTCCTATGTAGTTCCCACAAATGAATCTTGGACTCCCACTCTCATCCACTGCCTTCTGCAAACCAGATTCTCACAATGTAGGTGCTGATACGACTCCCTCCTTCAGCTTTGATGATATGCTTTACAAGCCTTCGGTGGCTGATGATGGTGTGCTTCTTCCATGTGGACTTGGTTGCCATCTCTTTTCATTCTTTGAGTAAAATCTCTTAACGCACGTGTTTAATTTTTAGCAGGTTCTAGTCATCAGGTTATCCTCTCTGGTTTGTGTGTTTTCAATGATATTTGATAGTATCTTATTGCCATGTATTAGGGCCTCTAAGTTTGCCCTGATTTTTTCATCGATGATCTTTATCCTTCTAGGTTTTATATTTAAGTCTTTGATCCATCTTGAATTCACTTTCATATGCATGGCTTGAGGTATAGGTCCTTGTTTTAAATTTTTCTAACAACTTAGATATCCAGTTTTGTTAGCACTATTTGTTAAAGAGGTTATCTCTTCCCTAATTTAGTGTGTCTGTCTAATTTAGCTGTTTGTAGTTGGATTTACTCAATTCTGCTCCATTGATCTATTGTGTCTGTCATCGTACCAACACTGGGCTTCTTTGATTACTGTGGTTATGTTTTGAGATTGGGAAGCTTGTTCTTTTTTAGCAGTGCTTTGCTTATTCAGTCTCTTTCCTTTTCGTATAAAGTTAGTGATTAGTGATTAGTCAGTGATTATCTCTTTAAAGAAGGATGTTGAATAATGAATCATCATTGCATTATATCTATTGATTTCTTTGAGTTGTGCTGACCTTTTCACAATGTTAAGACTTCCTAATTATGTGGATCTTCTGGTTTCTGGTACTAGTATTTGTGATGGAATAAAATTTCTTAATATGGCTCCTCTACCCAAGTGTCTGGGTGGTGCGACTATGCAAATAAGATGTGTGCCACACTAAAAGAGAGGATTGGTCACTTTTCATTACCCCTTTGCTGTAACAACAAGTCATCTTCGAAGCAGTAAGAGAAGAGAGAAACATGAAGGAGAACCTTAGAAGAGCACATTCAAGATCCTGGAATTGGCTGAGGCCTCCAGGACCAGATGCATCCGAATCTCCGCCACTCAGAGAAGTTTCACGGAGCCTATAGCCTGTGAAATGGAGAGAGACTTGGCTGCTGGCTGAGGACACCAGTGACTGTAAACTTACTGTTTGCTGATCCTGACTCGTGGTATCCTATTAACTTTCCTGACAATGATTGATGCCAAGGAGCCGCAGCCACACAGATGTGTTGAAAGGAGACAAGCCTTCTCTCAGAGCCAACAGCGATAGGAAAACCTTTCTCCAGCTCTGAAGTTGGACTTCTAGCCTCCTAGACTTCTAGACTCCTAAATTGAGAAAAGAAATGTGGTAACTAAGACAAACCCAATCGGATTCCTTGAGGTAATTTAGAATGTCTGGACTTGTGTGCCATCCTTTATAAAGCTCTCTAATATAAAGACTTTACCTTATGTGGTAGGTACATAAGGTGGTGTCAGCTTGAGATGATTAAGAGTGAAGGGCTGGAGTTTAGTCTGTCGATCAGGTCACAGCTTGATGACTTTATTTTGGAGGCACAACATAGATAAATTCCTCACTGGAGGTCAGATACACTCTCTGCTTGGTCTTCCTGTTGACAAACCACATGGAGCTTAACTGATGGAGCCAGAGCCCTGGAGCTGGAGGAACCACATGCAGACCCATGCCAGCACTGAGATGCTTCCACTGCCACTGGATCCATAAGACTTTCCACCCACTGGCCTGTGATCTTCCTGCATTCGGTGTCATTGCATGTGTTGAGTGAGTTTGAAGAGGAATTATAGACTGGTATCAGACATATGTGCTAATATCGGACTTACAGACTTGAACTGGACTGGGCTGTCTCCTTAATATGTAGTTACTGTTTATATAAAACTCTTCCTTATACACATAAAGCCTCTGGCTTTGTTTCTCTAGTTGACCCTTAGGTTTTAAAAACACACCTTGGGTTTTAAAAAATGTGTATATTCTAGATATTGGCAGCTGTTAAAATTTTATGTATGTAATGGATTGATGTTTTTTCCTCATCATAATTTTTTTCTTCGCCGATACATCAAGCTAAAATAAGTTTTTAATAAATGTAGTTGATATTTTTAGCAAATTCCATAGGACTACCTTTAAAAATAAATATATAAAAATCTGGTCCCTATAATAGTTAACGTGTGTTGAAACCTGCATATCCCGTTGTTTAATATCTAATTAATATCTAATTAATATTAATTAGATCACTTAGCAGGTGTCTTACTAAAGGCCTTTTTACTCCTTTTATTTATTATTTTTTTTATTAACTTTCTGTGAAAATGTGGGGAGAGAGTAATAGGTCAGTTAACTTATCTGTTATGAAAAAAGTAAAGCTTACTTTTCTTTTTGTCAGCAGTTAGAATAATTTTCATTTCATTTTAAAATCTATGCTACATTGTCATTTGTGAAGAAAAATAATCCAGTACCAAAAAGAAAACTTAAGGAGGATAAAAAAAAGACCGCATTTCAGCAAATAGGCACTAACTACTTTGTGTTTTGAATTCAGACAATTCCAATATAAAGGGTTAAGTAGCAAAAGGAAGATTCAGGCATGTGAAGAATTTCATGCTTTACACTATGATGATTGTATTGTAAGATACATGAGGATTGTATAGTGTGGTTTTTTAAAGAAAACTCTCATTGCCATTGAGTTGATGGTGACTGCTAGGGACCCTGCAGGGCAGGGTGGAACTGCCCCTGTGGTCTCTGAGACTGCACCTCTTCACGAGGTCAGAAAGCCTCCTCTTTCTCCCATGAAGCAGCTCGTGGTTTCCAATGAACTGCTGGCCTTTTAATTAGCAGCCCGATGTGTAAATCACTCTGCCATCAGAGCTCCTGCCATAAGATATATGGGGATTTTGAATCCGTTTACTGTTTACCTAGTCTTTCTCTTTACTTGTCCATGACAAATCTTGACTATGATTTTTGTTTCTGTAGGCTTCCAGCACCTTCCGCTTTATTGCCAAGCCCTCCATCAAAGGTAAGAAACTGTAACTAAGATATCTTTAGGGTACTTGGAACAATGTTACACATTCACCACACAGGTCTAAGCTTATTCTAATTGAAGCATACTAAATTCTCCTTTTACTAGTGCCATTCTGTAGAATACAGGTTCTACTGGGCTTTTCATCAGTACTTTAAATTTTGTTATTAGTTGAGATTTAATACATATAACATTCTATATTTCAATCATGTCAAGTAGAACTATAGTTGCTACCACAGTTTCCAACCATTCTTTTTCCACATGGACTCCTTGACATAGTCTTCCTTTTCACCCACCACCTCCACTCAACCCCTCCCCCAAGCCCTTATTCTACTTGTTGTCCCCATAGGTTCATCCCCCTTTCTACCCCACATTCCCTCCACCCTCCAGGCATCGCCCCTCTCACCACTGGTCCTGAAGGAGTCATCTGTCCTGGATTCCCTGTGTTTCCAGTTCCTATCTGTACCAATGTACAT